GTAGAACGTTCGTGGCACGGCACTGTACACGCGTGACACGCACAACTGTTTTCAAAAAAGACATTGGCTACACTTTGATCTTAGCCAACAGGCCGAGAAGCGATACTTGACCGAGGATTTTCAAAATTCTCGGCCACTTTGCAACCACCCCCGTTGGTGTGAGTTTTTCACGGAATCGCGGGGCCTTCGGACACCGTCGGCGGCAAACCGGAGTAGAAAATACTGAAAAAAGGGCTTCCAACTGCGACAGGACGAGAGAATAACAACAACTGTTTCCGTACTATGTGTACGTGAGTGTGTTGTTGATCGACTTATTTCAACACTCTCGTCTGCGAACGCGTACGAGAACCGACTCGGGCCCCGAACAGTCCGGGTGCTAATGCCAGTTCTGTCCACGCTGTCCACGCCGGTTGTAGCGCTAGCGTCGCGAGACTAGGTCCACGTCAGAGGGTTCGTTCGTCGTCGGTCTCGTCGCTGGCTCCCGCTATCCGGCAGTCGCGTCACCGATAATAACGAGATAGTGTAAAAATCTGTAACACGTCGAATCGCCATTCTTTTTAACGACTGCTATCGTGTCCGTCGTGCACAGGTCGAATATGTTAACGGGAGAATCGCGTTTGTCGCGTCCGCCTCTCGGTCTGAACTATGCACTTTGCGAGAACTACCCAACTCTTCTCCTATTGGTCGAATCAAACAAAACAGGCCACGCCCACTTTTCTACCACGTAAAACGACATATTGTGTTTAATACCGTCAGTTTACCGATCGGGCTATATAATTCTATCTCGATCAAAGGAAATTGCCGCCGCCCAGAAATTCACTCTCTCTTAGTGTGTTGTTTCATTTTTTTTTTATTCTAGAAATTCATTTCTTTGTTATTATCATTTTTATTTTCATTTTCATTTTCATTTTCGTTTTCATTTTTATTTCATTCCATTTACTTTTTTACTACAATTTTACTGAAAATCATGATACACGGTGTCTCGTCGAACGTCGTCGTCCCCCTCCTCCTCGTCACACACGTGCAGTGCTAGTTCACGCCGTGTGGAGCGCTAGTAGCGCAGCGCGAGGTCCACGTCGCGTCGCCACGACGAGGCTGCAGCCCGGCTCAGGCTCACCTCGTTCCCGGCCGGCGGCGCAGTTTAGTAACAGTGGTGACACGCGCAATCGGTACTCTTGCCGACTGGTGTTCCAATAAGATGAACACACTTCCGGGATCTACACTCGCCACTAGGGTCCGACACACATGTCACTTCACTGGTCCCACGTTTGTCACGTCCACGTCAGTAGTGCTCCTCGTGGCGGTCAGCGACGTTGGCACCACGCGCACTCGAGCTCACTCACACGTGTAGCACACGGTGTAGAACGTTCGTGGCACGGCACTGAACACGCGTGACACGCACAACTGTATTCAAAAAAGACATTGGCTACACTTTGATCTTAGCCAACAGGCCTACACTTTGATCTTAGCCAACAGGCCGAGAAGCGAAGATCGGGCTACACTTTGATCTTAGCCAACAGGCCGAGAAGCGATACTTGACCGAGGATTTTCAAAATTCTCCGCCACTTTGCAACCACGTAATAAATAAATAACTTTCGTCAATAAATAAAATTTAAAACGTTGTCCAGTTTAGTAGAATAAATTAAAACAGTTTGCAAGAAACATGTTTCGACAAACCAGTCCATTCCTGCAGCCAGGTCACGTGGTCACGACGATCACCTGGCTCCATCGTCGACGTCGGCCCGGGATCTACACTCGCCACTAGGGTCCGACACACATGTCACTTCACTGGTCCCACGTTTGTCACGTCCACGTCAGTAGTTCTCCTCGTGGCGGTCAGCGACGTTGGCACCACGCGCACTCGAGCTCACTCACACGTCTAGCACACGGTGTAGAACGTTCGTGGCACGGCACTGAACACGCGTGACACGCACAACTGTATTCAAAAAAGACATTGCCTACACTTTGATCTTAGCCAACAGGCCTACACTTTGATCTTAGCCAACAGGCCGAGAAGCGAAGATCGGGCTACACTTTGATCTTAGCCAACAGGCCGAGAAGCGATACTTGACCGAGGATTTTCAAAATTCTCCGCCACTTTGCAACCACGTAATAAATAAATAACTTTCGTCAAATAAATAAAATTTAAAACGTAGTCCAGTTTAGTAGAATAAATTAAAACAGTTTGCAAGAAACATGTTTCGACAAACCAGACCATTCCTGCAGCCAGGTCACGTGGTCACGACGATCACCTGGCTCCATCGTCGACGTCGGCCCGGGATCTACACTCGCCACTAGGGTCCGACACACATGTCACTTCACTGGTCCCACGTTTGTCACGTCCACGTCAGTAGTGCTCCTCGTGGCGGTCAGCGACGTTGGCACCACGCGTACTCGAGCTCACTCACACGTGTAGCACACGGTGTAGAACGTTCGTGGCACGGCACTGAACACGCGTGACACGCACAACTGTATTCAAAAAAGACATTGCCTACACTTTGATCTTAGCCAACAGGCCTACACTTTGATCTTAGCCAACAGGCCGAGATGGTGATCGGTGATCGGACGAGAACCGGTATATTCAACGTGGTATGGCCGTTGGCGAGTGCTGGAAGTACCTGTCACCATCCTGAGTGAACCATCATTATTCTAACTGACAGAGCAATCAGCAATACATTATCAGTTTTATAAATCAAAATGGATAAAAACTCGAAAATTAGTGGATTCGCCAGATCCGTGGTAGGATCCTAGTCAGTTTTGCGCTACGAAATTCATCGACTGTTAAAAAAGTAAATAACAATCAACATTGAATAATATAACGTATTGCACGATTTAATATTATGAAAAATTTAGTCCGTTTCTTTTTTGTTTACAGGTTATTGCGCTACGTTATTCTTATTCAACGATTGTTAACAAAAATATAATTTATTTACGTACACTACCGCTGTTGTTTGTATAAAATAACGAATGACTTTCTCTACCTACTCACTATACACCCCATTGGAGTTGAATGTGTATTATTAGGGACAGCGCGAACGCAGTCCCCGCTACCAAAAATTACGCGCCCGAGATACCCACATTTGGGGCATTCGCAGGAGTCAGCCCGACCGTAGTGCAATGGAAGGGCCTCATCCTGGTGGAACCGCCTTCTTGATCACGGTAACTCCTACGCCAGGTAAGTATGAGTGCGAGAGCGACGAAATGGGCACCCGGCTCTGGCGTGTAGCGGGTATCAGTGCGAGAACCGATCCACACTACAGCTGTAACGGTGTCGGTAATTGTAAATTTATGTCGCCAAAATCGTGTCGTCGTCTTGAAAACGGTTAACGGTAAACGAATCTCGAGGTTTCAAAAAGAAAAACCTCTGGGCAACGTGTAAACACCGAGCGAAACCGTCCACGTCGTCCAGACCAACAGTGGCTGGCTCGGACACGTCGTCGGTCACTGGCTGCGCCGGCGCGGAGACGAGGTGAAACCACGCTATAGAAACCGATCGGCAAACGGTCGCGTGCTGTTTGCGACTTATTTCGCTTAGACTGTGACTGAGCTCCTTGCAGAACAGCGTCTTTACTGAGGTCCGAGTCCGGCGCGAGATTGTCTGTCGATAGTGTTTATATATTGATTCTCACAGGGTTGTGTACGATCGAATTCGGCTGGACCGTCGGTCGTGACCGACGTCGTGTCAAGATCATACTTCACAGGATCATTTCTGTAGTAAGATCTTCATTTATACACTCCATTACGGAAGTGGATACCAGCCACGATGAAGAGTTACGGTCCATCTCTCTGAGCGTGAGGCAGACGAGGTCCCGGGCCCTAGCGGCACGGGAGCACGTCATCGATGATCGTTCAGCCTTTACCTTAGGGTACTGGTCGAGAGGTGGACGTTCAGAGTGGTAAAAAAAAAAAAATAAATGAAATAAACAACTTATAATATCAATCTTCAATTGAATTGAATACAAGCGTGTCATAGGTTTTTACACGACAGTATATTCGTGCTCAGTGAGGTGATAATCAATCAACATTGTACTCGAGTGAGTGGCCCAATCCCATAAGGATCGGGCGCTAATTAAAAATTTATTTATAGACTCATCGTGTGTTCCCCTCCACGGAAATCTTTAGTAAAAGGCGAAAGATTTATTCGTTTTGAAGGGAAACTAGAGTGGAGCGCGTGACGAAACCCGAGCGACCCACTAGTACTGGACTCAGTTAGAGCCGGCGAGAGCCAACTGACACGAATGTCCACACGTAAAACACGATGTTACGAAATATACAACAATCTAGACAAACGGGACCCGTCACAGTGGACGTATCTTATTGGAACACCAGTCGGCAAGAGTGCCGATTGCGCGTGTCACCACTGTTACTAAACTGCGCCGCCGGCCGGGAACGAGGTGAGCCTGAGCCGGGCTGCAGCCTCGTCGTGGCGACGCGACGTGGACCTCGCGCTGCGCTACTAGCGCTCCACACGGCGTGAACTAGCACTGCACGTGTGTGACGAGGAGGAGGGGGACGACGACGTTCGACGAGACACCGTGTATCATGATTTTCAGTAAAATTGTAGTAAAAAAGTAAATGGAATGAAATAAAAATGAAAACGAAAATGAAAATGAAAATGAAAATAAAAATGATAATAACAAAGAAATGAATTTCTAGAATAAAAAAAAATGAAACAACACACTAAGAGAGAGTGAATTTCTGGGCGGCGGCAATTTCCTTTGATCGAGATAGAATTATATAGCCCGATCGGTAAACTGAGCCAGCCACTGTTGGTCTGGACGACGTGGACGGTTTCGCTCGGTGTTTACACGTTGCCCAGAGGTTTTTCTTTTTGAAACCTCGAGATTCGTTTACCGTTAACCGTTTTCAAGACGACGACACGATTTTGGCGACATAAATTTACAATTACCGACACCGTTACAGCTGTAGTGTGGATCGGTTCTCGCACTGATACCCGCTACACGCCAGAGCCGGGTGCCCATTTCGTCGCTCTCGCACTCATACTTACCTGGCGTAGGGGTTACCGTGATCAAGAAGGCGGTTCCCCCAGGATGAGGCCCTTCCATTGCACTACGGTCGGGCTGACTCCTGCGAATGCCCCAAATGTGGGTATCTCGGGCGCGTAATTTTTGGTAGCGGGGACTGCGTTCGCGCTGTCCCTAATAATACACATTCAACTCCAATGGGGTGTATAGTGAGTAGGTAGAGAAAGTCATTCGTTATTTTATACAAACAACAGCGGTAGTGTACGTAAATAAATGATATTTTTGTTAACAATCGTTGAATAAGAATAACGTAGCGCAATAACCTGTAAACAAAAAAGAAACGGACTAAATTTTTCATAATATTAAATCGTGCAATACGTTATATTATTCAATGTTGATTGTTATTTACTTTTTTAACAGTCGATGAATTTCGTAGCGCAAAACTGACTAGGATCCTACCACGGATCTGGCGAATCCACTAATTTTCGAGTTTTTATCCATTTTGATTTATAAAACTGATAATGTATTGCTGATTGCTCTGTCAGTTAGAATAATGATGGTTCACTCAGGATGGTGACAGGTACTTCCAGCACTCGCCAACGGCCATACCACGTTGAATATACCGGTTCTCGTCCGATCACCGAACCACCATCTCGGCCTGTTGGCTAAGATCAAAGTGTAGGCCTGTTGGCTAAGATCAAAGTGTAGGCAATGTCTTTTTTGAATACAGTTGTGCGTGTCACGCGTGTTCAGTGCCGTGCCACGAACGTTCTACACCGTGTGCTAGACGTGTGAGTGAGCTCGAGTACGCGTGGTGCCAACGTCGCTGACCGCCACGAGGAGCACTACTGACGTGGACGTGACAAACGTGGGACCAGTGAAGTGACATGTGTGTCGGACCCTAGTGGCGAGTGTAGATCCCGGGCCGACGTCGACGATGGAGCCAGGTGATCGTCGTGACCACGTGACCTGGCTGCAGGAATGGACTGGTTTGTCGAAACATGTATCTTGCAAACTGTTTTAATTTATTCTACTAAACTGGACAACGTTTTAAATTTTATTTATCGACGAAAGTTATTTATTTATTACGTGGTTGCAAAGTGGCGGAGAATTTTGAAAATCCTCGGTCAAGTATCGCTTCTCGGCCTGTTGGCTAAGATCAAAGTGTAGCCCGATCTTCGCTTCTCGGCCATTTGGCTAAGATCAAAGTGTAGGCCTGTTGGCTAAGATCAAAGTGTAGCCAATGTCTTTTTTGAATACAGTTGTGCGTGTCACGCGTGTTCAGTGCCGTGCCACGAACGTTCTACACCGTGTGCTACACGTGTGAGTAAGCTCGAGTGCGCGTGGTGCCAACGTCGCTGACCGCCACGAGGAGCACTACTGACGTGGACGTGACAAACGTGGGACCAGTGAAGTGACATGTGTGTCGGACCCTAGTGGCGAGTGTAGATCCCGGGCCGACGTCGACGATGGAGCCAGGTGATCGTCGTGACCACGTGACCTGGCTGCAGGAATGGACTGGTTTGTCGAAACATGTTTCTTGCAAACTGTTTCAATTTATTCTACTAAACTGGACTACGTTTTAAATTTTATTTATTGACGAAAGTTATTTATTTATTACGTGGTTGCAAAGTGGCGGAGAATTTTGAAAATCCTCGGTCAAGTATCGCTTCTCGGCCTGTTGGCTAAGATCAAAGTGTAGCCCGATCTTCGCTTCTCGGCCTGTTGGCTAAGATCAAAGTGTAGGCCTGTTGGCTAAGATCAAAGTGTAGCCAATGTCTTTTTTGAATACAGTTGTGCGTGTCACGCGTGTTCAGTGCCGTGCCACGAACGTTCTACACCGTGTGCTACACGTGTGAGTGAGCTCGAGTGCGCGTGGTGCCAACGTCGCTGACCGCCACGAGGAGCACTACTGACGTGGACGTGACAAACGTGGGACCAGTGTCACTTCACTGGTCCCACGTTTGTCACGTCCACGTCAGTAGTGCTCCTCGTGGCGGTCAGCGACGTTTGCACCACGCGCACTCGAGCTCACTCACACGTGTAGCACACGGTGTAGAACGTTCGTTTCACGGCACTGAACACGCGTGACACGCACAACTGTATTCAAAAAAGACATTGGCTACACTTTGATCTTAGCCAATAGGCCTACACTTTGATCTTAGCCAACAGGCCGAGAAGCGATACTTGACCGAGGATTTTCAAAATTCTCCGCCACTTTGCAACCACGTAATAAATAAATAACATTCGTCAATAAATAAAATTTAAAACGTAGTCCAGTTTAGTAGAATAAATTAAAACAGTTTGCAAGAAACATGTTTCGACAAACCAGTCCATTCCTGCAGCCAGGTCACGTGGTCACGACGATCACCTGGCTCCATCGTCGACGTCGGCCCGGGATCTACACTCGCCACTAGGATCCGACACACATGTCACTTCACTGGTCCCACGTTTGTCACGTCCACGTCAGTAGTGCTCCTCGTGGCGGTCAGCGACGTTGGCACCACGCGCACTCGAGCTCACTCACACGTGTAGCACACGGTGTAGAACGTTCGTGGCACGGCACTGAACACGCGTGACACGCACAACTGTATTCAAAAAAGACATTGGCTACACTTTGATCTTAGCCAACAGGCCTACACTTTGATCTTAGCCAACAGGCCGAGAAGCGAAGATCGGGCTACACTTTGATCTTAGCCAACAGGCCGAGAAGCGATACTTGACCGAGGATTTTCAAAATTCTCCGCCACTTTGCAACCACGTAATAAATAAATAACTTTCGTCAATAAATAAAATTTAAAACGTTGTCCAGTTTAGTAGAATAAATTAAAACAGTTTGCAAGAAACATGTTTCGACAAACCAGTCCATTCCTGCAGCCAGGTCACGTGGTCACGACGATCACCTGGCTCCATCGTCGACGTCGGCCCGGGATCTACACTCGCCACTAGGGTCCGACACACATGTCACTTCACTGGTCCCACGTTTGTCACGTCCACGTCAGTAGTTCTCCTCGTGGCGGTCAGCGACGTTGGCACCACGCGCACTCGAGCTCACTCACACGTCTAGCACACGGTGTAGAACGTTCGTGGCACGGCACTGAACACGCGTGACACGCACAACTGTATTCAAAAAAGACATTGCCTACACTTTGATCTTAGCCAACAGGCCTACACTTTGATCTTAGCCAACAGGCCGAGAAGCGAAGATCGGGCTACACTTTGATCTTAGCCAACAGGCCGAGAAGCGATACTTGACCGAGGATTTTCAAAATTCTCCGCCACTTTGCAACCACGTAATAAATAAATAACTTTCGTCAAATAAATAAAATTTAAAACGTAGTCCAGTTTAGTAGAATAAATTAAAACAGTTTGCAAGAAACATGTTTCGACAAACCAGACCATTCCTGCAGTCAGGTCACGTGGTCACGACGATCACCTGGCTCCATCGTCGACGTCGGCCCGGGATCTACACTCGCCACTAGGGTCCGACACACATGTCACTTCACTGGTCCCACGTTTGTCACGTCCACGTCAGTAGTGCTCCTCGTGGCGGTCAGCGACGTTGGCACCACGCGCACTCGAGCTCACTCACACGTGTAGCACACGGTGTAGAACGTTCGTGGCACGGCACTGAACACGCGTGACACGCACAACTGTATTCAAAATTGACATTGGCTACACTTTGATCTTAGCCAACAGGCCTACGCTTTGATCTTAGCCAACAGGCCGAGAAGCGAAGATCGGGCTACACTTTGATCTTAGCCAACAGGCCGAGAAGCGAAGATCGGGCTACACTTTGATCTTAGCCAACAGGCCGAGAAGCGTTACATGACCGAGGATTTTCAAAATTATCCGCCACTTTGCAACCACGTAATAAATAAATAACTTTCGTCAATAAATAAAATTTAAAACGTAGTCCAGTTTAGTAGAATAAATTAAAACAGTTTGCAAGAAACATGTTTCGACAAACCAGTCCATTCCTGCAGCCAGGTCACGTGGTCACGACGATCACCTGGCTCCATCGTCGACGTCGGCCCGGGATCTACACTCGCCACTAGGGTCCGACACACATGTCACTTCACTGGTCCCACGTTTGTCACGTTCACGTCAGTAGTGCTCCTCGTGGCGGTCAGCGACGTTGGCACTACGCGCACTCGAGCTCACTCACACGTGTAGCACACGGTGTAGAACGTTCGTGGCACGGCACTGAACACGCGTGACACGCACAACTGTATTCAAAAAAGACATTGGCTACACTTTGATCTTAGCCAACAGGCCTACACTTTGATCTTAGCCAACAGGCCGAGAAGCGAAGATCGGGCTACACTTTGATCTTAGCCAACAGGCCGAGAAGCGATACTTGACCGAGGATTTTCAAAATTCTCCGCCACTTTGCAACCACGTAATAAATAAATAACTTTCGTCAATAAATAAAATTTAAAACGTAGTCCAGTTTAGTAGAATAAATTAAAACAGTTTGCAAGAAACATGTTTTGACAAACCAGTCCATTCCTGCAGCCAGGTCACGTGGTCACGACGATCTTCTGGCTCCATCGTCGACGTCGGCCCGGGATCTACACTCGCCACTAGGGTCCGACACACATGTCACTTCACTGGTCCCACGTTTGTCACGTCCACGTCAGTAGTGCTCCTCGTGGCGGTCAGCGACGTTGGCACCACGCGCACTCGAGCTCACTCACACGTGTAGCACACGGTGTAGCACGTTCGTGGCACGGCACTGAACACGCGTGACACGCACAACTGTATTCAAAAAAGACATTGGCTACACTTTGATCTTAGCCAACAGGCCTACACTTTGATCTTAGCCAACAGGCCGAGAAGCGAAGATCGGGCTACACTTTGATCTTAGCCAACAGGCCTAGAAGCGATACTTGACCGAGGATTTTCAAAATTATCCGCCACTTTGCAACCACGTAATAAATAAATAACTTTCGTCAATAAATAAAATTTAAAACGTAGTCCAGTTTAGTAGAATAAATTAAAACAGTTTGCAAGAAACATGTTTCGACAAACCAGTCCATTCCTGCAGCCAGGTCACGTGGTCACGACGATCACCTGGCTCCATCGTCGACGTCGGCCCGGGATCTACACTCGCCACTAGGGTCCGACACACATGTCACTTCACTGGTCCCACGTTTGTCACGTTGCAACAGTCT